ACAGGTGCTTCTTTCTGTGGTCTTCTATCTATTTAAACTAATTTTCAAAAATAATAGAGGCATTCTTTTTCTATGTTGCAACATGTCAATCCTCCTTTCTCTTAACAGCACAAGGATGCTTGCTCCTTCTAGGTGATATGGTCACATGTACTAGATCAGAAGTCAGATTCAAGGTTTTAATCTCCATATATTGGCACCAATATATCTCTCTAATCACATCTCGCAAAGTGGTGACTCTTTATCTAAAACAGGGCAGATAAATAACTCAAGGGCTTAAACCAAACTGTGAATTAAAAATTAAAAACAAGTCATCCTAGATATTGAAGTTTGCGCCAGACTTATACCTTCATTTTTTAAAAGTGATCTGAAGCAGAATAGTTGTCATTGTTTCACTCTGAGGGAATGGCTTCAAGCCCCCTTTCTTATTCATGCTATGCTGTCTGGTTTCTAGCCACATTTCAGTATTTCTCTATTGAAAAAAACAAACAAACAAATAAAAAACACATGTATATGTAAATTGATGTTCTCTTTGAAATATGTGAGAATTGTTGAGTTTAAGGATACTTTTTCTTCAATTAATTAAAATGCTCTTCGGAGAAAATACACATTTTAGTGTACAACAGTTAAAGAAAGCAAAACAGTATTGTGTTAGTTTTCACTGTTGACTTTTATGAATACGAATAGTTGGCTTTTTTGTATCGTTTTTGATAGTCTGTGGTGGGCAGTTTGAATGAAATAGAAAATTTGGGATTACCAACATTTTTTTTTTTTACTGTTAGTTTCAGGTGTACAAAACAATGCAATAGTTACCCTTTTCACCCTCACAAAGTAACAACCCTCCTCCCCCCATCTATTGCCCTCCCACCCCCAATATCATGCTTATCTATTACAATTCCATTGAATCCGTTCCCGCACTCTACTCCATGTCCCGAGGTTATATGTATATATAATTATAGTTGACATACAGTATTATTCAACATCAGTTTCAGAAATACAATGCGGTGGTCAGGCCTCTACATCAACTATGAAGTGGACTCCCCAAAAGGATATGGGTCCATCTGGCCCCCTAAGAAATACTTACAACATTATTGATTGTATTCCTCGGACTGTCTTTTGGAGCTGGCTCACATGGGAACTCACCATGTCTTATCCTCATTGGCTTCATTCTCCAACCAGGAGAGTGATGCTGATATCAATCAATTAATATTTATTTTAAAACCTCTAATGGCAGTATGGGATGGAGGTGCTTTAAAGAATAGTCTAAACAGACTGAAAATTCTCCATGATAGGACACAACCATTTAGAATGGCAGTTTTTCATTTTTGAGATTATCATTTTATACTCATCTAGAAAGTGCTGATCTAAAGGGTTGTGACAGGAGCGTATGGGTAAATTGGCAGTGGGTGAGAGCTATTGTTTTTCTCATTGGCTTTTCTCTATGCAATTGAAGAGCCACTCTCTGAAGAAGACAGACTGGCACTATCTCCATATACTAAATGCATACACACATGCATTCGTGTTTCACATATGAATGATGGTGCTAATTCTACATGGTTAAACCAGTGAAATGCCTCCTTCAACTTCCTTAATTTCAGGATGGAAATTCTATAAATCCAGGCTTTACATTTAAATTCCAACCTCCTAGTTCAGAGCTATCTCCTTCAGAAGTTGTGGGAAAGGAGGATAGGAACAAATTTCTTTTTTTTTAAAGTAGAGAACCCCAACTGGCATTCTTGAGAAGCCTTACGAGCGTTAGTAGACACCTGTTCAGAACAAATTTGAGGCTTGGGATTCTGGGAATGGCATTCAAAGTGAATCCATTCAAAGGGAATTACATCCTCCCAGGAAGTGAGATATGGTGGGAATGAGCAAACAGACAGAGAAGATCTGGTTTGAATCCAGGCTCCCCTGCTTATCAGCAGCATAACCCTCTGCAAGTCATTTTATACGTCTTGGCCTTTATTCCTACATTTGCAAACCATGAACAACATCTACACAAATGTGCCGGCCTTGACTTGGTTACAAGGCTCAGAGGAGTCACTGTATTAATAAGTCTGTAGTAAACTAGTGAGCCCTTTTCTTAGAAATATGTAAAAATTGACAACTAGACTGAGTCCATTTTCTTATCAGTCCTAATCTAGTAACTTGCACATTTAGGGGATTGTTTTCTAATAATGAGGGTCACCTCTTTTCCTTCAGTTGGGTTTGTGATGAGCTTCTCAGGTTAAGCTCTGCTCTCGTTCACCTTCCTTTTAATTTCAAAAGCCTAGCACATTCACTGTACTTTCAAAATAGGATGATGGTTTCACTGGGGAAGCAACAGATATGATGAAGTACTCAGCCTCATCTCTGCTGCAAACATGCCTGATATTGGGGCTTGTGTCACCTGCTTTCCCTCATCCTTCCTTCCTTTCCCTCTAGTTCTGTGCTGTCCAACACGAGAGCCAACAGTGACTAATGAGCACTTGAAATCCAGCTAGTGCAATGGAGAAACTCAGTTTTAAATTTTATTTAATGTCTCTCAGTTTAAATTTAAAAACTGAAGCTCAATTCAGTTACTGGAAAACTTTCAAGTAGGTTTGGCATTTGGGTATGTGAATCTTTCTTTTCAACTATAAATTTAATGAAATCTAAATATAGACCATGTATTTCTGTGAAAGTTTAAAAAAACCAAACCAAACAAACCAATAAAAAAATCATGGCAACAATTAGGTTGGCCATACCCACACCTCCACAGAGAGCTTTAGTCTGAGCTGTCTCACCAAAGGGTGAACCTACTATTCTAGTTCCTCTTAATTTCTTTTCTTAATTTAACATTTTTCTTAAATTAATTTTTAATTGAGATGTAATTGTCATATATTACATTAGTTTTAAGTGTACAACATAATTGAAACAATTTTTTTCCATTCCCTTTAAATTTTGACAAGAAAATATGAATGCAGGCAGCACCAGGGGGGTGAAGTTCGAAAAACATAGGCTTTGAATCCAACGAAAGGAAGTTCAAACGCTGCACTTGCTGGTTACTAGCTGATGTGGTCTTGGTACAAATGGCTCTGCCTGGCAAAGCCCTGACTTTCTTCCCCCCACAGGGATGATGCCCATACCTGCTTCTCAGGGGTGAGGCCAGGACTCACTGAAATCACTTGTACAGGCTGCCTGACTCAAATTAGGGGCTCCATAGCTGTCAGCTCCCCTCCCCTTATGACCTTAGATTTTAAATTAAAAGCTGCATCTTTCTGGAGCAGCAAAGTGTATATTTACTTTTAGAGAAAATGAGGCCTTGTGTTCCAAAAGCAAGCACCATATCTGAACTTTACTTCAAAAGAAGCTGGCAGAAGAGCTTCCCAGGACCAGCACTTTGGTTGGTGCTTACAACATCAGCAGGGGAGAAAGCAAAGGCCCTTGTCCGTTTGCGAGCCTTGTCTCTGTGGGCTGGTTGATGATGACCGCCATATAGCTCAGGGCTGACATCACTGTCTGCCTCACTCTTCCCCTGGGCCCCTTCAGAGGAAGTTTCTCGGGCAGGTTCGGGGGTCCCTGATAATTTATCTAAGCTGGTCTTCCTTTAGAAATGGGCTCTGGTGGGATGGGGGAAAGAGGTGGCCTGTGTGGCTATTTTGATTCTCCCTGAAGCCTTTTTCATTTCTAAGGCACATCACAAGGGCACATTCCTTCCAGCCTCTCTCTTCAGCAACAGCCCAGATCTAACCACGCCTCATGGATCCAGGCTCAGACCACAGAAAAACAAACAAGGCTTTGATTCCGTTGTGAGAAAATCAAAGACCTGCTGAAACTCACTTAAAGGAGACAGAGAGAGAGAGAGAGAGAGAGAGAGAGAGAGAGAGAGAGAGAGAGAGAGAGAGAGAGAAAGAGAGAATGAGGAGGAGGAGGAGGAGGAGGAGGAGGAGGGGAAGCAAGGGAAGAGGCGGGGCAGAGTCAGAGAGGGAGAGAAAGAGACACACACACACAACTCTCTACCACACACTGTTTACTATTTTCCACAAACAGACCCAATCAGAAAGAAGAAATTTGTGTTTAGCGTTACGAACTGCCTGGAAATGTTTGGTAGCTCTTTTGGCTGTTGCTGCCCAGTGAATGAGGTCTATGAAATTAGCCTTTTAGAGTCAACCTTCTGAAAAAAAAAAAATCCCTTCAGTACTCTTGCCCTGGAAAAAAACACTGCTTGCCAAATTCAAATTTTCCTTGGCCAAAGTAACCACTAATTCGGCCCTTCAATGAGGTTATAAAGAAAGTATTTCCTCTTGACTTTGGAGAAAACACCTTTCATGTGACCTCCAAACTATGTTACTTATTTTAAAAGTACACAAAATAAACTTTTTTTTTTCTTACTCCAAAACAGTGCTTCTCACTGAATTCTGTGGGATTAATTAGAAGCCAGCGGGGTGGTCACCCTTTTGGGAGAAGGGTGACAGGGTAGGGGTCCCCGGGGAGCGGGGGGCTTCTGGATGCTGCCCATGTTCTGGTCACTGAGCTGGTGCTTGTCGGTTTGGAATCTCATCCAGCTGCACATGGTCCTGCGTGCAGTCTTCAGAATGTAGCTATACCTCAATAAAAAGTTCTTCCCAAACAAAGCAGAATGAAACACTCACTGCCTCTTGGAAGACAGAAAAATACCTTTCTGTGCATGCACAGCCTGCAGAGAGCCACTTTCAGAAAACACTCAACAGTGGCATCACACGTACAGGCAGGGAACTGGACCCTCAGGAAGCAAACTTGATTCCTGAACAGAACCATTCTGCAGTTCCCATCAGTCCTTCCCCAAAACATTTCCCAGCCTGGCATAGAGCAGCCATGCCAGGTATAATGTGAGGTCTACTTTAAGAAGCTATATTTCCATTCAAATCGGGCGGGTGGAATGCTGTGCTGTTTTGAACTCCGAGAAAAACTTCATCCAAGATAACTAACACAGAATGCACTGTCCTACGAGGTTATCACATCTTTTATATTTAACAACAAAAAAAGGCAAAGTGGGTACTTACCTATTTGGTCTTCGGGTATCAGCGACTCAATGGGGGGGTCTAGTTCTGAGCTCTGAGACAAGTAGTTCTTCACCTGGGTCATGAACTGCCGGATGGTCTGCAGCATGTCCGTGCTGGACACATGGCACTCCTTGTTCTCCTGAAGGAAGCTCACGTAGTCCTGCACCAGGCAGCCGAAATAGGTGCATTTGTCCCGGGACAGCTCAGCGATCCTGCGGACCATGCGCTTCTCCGGGGTCATGAAAGAGCTGAACACTCCGCTCATCTTACGGAGCTGGGACTTGACAAGCTTGGGCAGCACGAAGGAGCTGTTCCTCTTCTTTTTGGACTTGATTGGGGGGGCCATGGTCTCCTGGTCACTCTCCCCTTCATAGTCCTCCAGGCTGCTGTTGGTATCGGCCTCGTAGCCAAACAGGGGCATGCTGCGGTCGAACTCCAGCGAGTCGGAGGAGGAAGTGGAAATGCTCATGTCGCTGAGCCTCTGTCTGCCTCCATGCCACGGGGGCCGTGATTCAGAGCTGGCAGGCTCCGCGCTTGTGCAATCCCCCTGGGCCTCTGCAGGCGGGGCGCCACCTGGGCTGCCAGCTGTGCCGGGCTCCTGCTCAGGCTCCTGCTCCCGGCCCCGGCAAGGCCGGTTGCCGGTCAAGGTCTTTGCGCCGCCTTCTGCCTCGAGAAAAGAAGCCTGCTTCTTCAGCCGGGGTGGAGGGATGGGGGTTGGTTTCGTTCCAAGCAGAGCTATGTTCCCATGTTTGTTATGGTTGACTGTTTCTGGCATACTCGCCGGGGTTTCAGTCCTGGACAGCTGAGGGCTTGTGTGCAGACTATTAATAGCCGGTGGCGGGGGCCTGGGTGGGGGGGACCGAGGCCTCTCAGTGCCATTCGCGTTGGGAGTCCTTGTGCAGGGCCGCTTCAGGCCTCCACTGAGGTCCTGGCTGTGCACTTTCAAGAAAAGAGGATTAATAAAACACAGGGCTCCGTTGGTCTGGCTGCACTCCAGCTCTGAAGGCGTCCTGGTTTTTATAGAATGCACTCCATTTATAAGGCAGAGCTGACGGGAGGCAGGACAAACACCGTCTGAGGAGAGAGGCCTATGGGGAGGTGGAGGGTTTGGGGGTTTGTTGTCAGCTGGAGAGCTCCAAAAATCTGAAAGTCATTATCAGTGAACACAAGAATGTAAATACAGTACACTTGGGCCAATCCTTCACAAATTAAAAAGAAAGCACACTTGCATGACTACGCTTGTCTTTAGAGGGGGAGGCGCTTCACTTCGTGGTGTTTTTTCCTTTCTTTCTTTTTTTTTTTTTTTATGCTTAACTGCATTCCCTTACTGGAAAGTGTGGAAATGCTGCCAGGCCCAGCTGTGGGCTCACAGGAATGCTCCAGGGGCTTTCACCTTCAAAGCCCTTGAGAAATGGTTTGGCCAACAAACAAAGCTAGCCAGCTCTCTTCACAGGTGAGGAAAAAAGAGCTGGAATTGTTACAGTATAAGCTGGAAAAGGCCACGGGGCTCCCTGACTTTACAAAAAGCAAAGCAACACCAACCCCATTTCTAATCTACTTCTCCTGGGGGTGGCCTGCACAGGGCCTGGGTTCCCCTTTAATGGGCAGGACCAGCAGCTGGGCCTGGGGGATGTTACACAATCTGCTTGGGGTTTCACATGCTCAGCATTAAAACCCCCAAAGGAGGAAAAATACACTCATGGGTCCCATCAGCAAAAACAAGGACAGCAAACTTATGCCAATATTAAGTCCAAGTTCAACCATTTATCTTTGGGGTTTGCTGCCCATCCTCCCCAAATCCTACATAACCTCCTCACCATGGCTATCCATATTCAACACTCTTTGGAGCAGTACACAGGCCTATTGCAGCTATACTGCCAGTGTCCCCTTTTACAGATGGTCTCAGTTTTCCAAGCAAATTAAGGGAGGCAGTGGTGGTGATGAATTAAACTCAGTCTGTTGTAATTTCCATTTGGAGTAGGCCATTCCCTCTCTATGGCTTTTTCTTGCTATGTTTGCTTAAAATGTGTTTCTTTCCTATGGGCCCAGAAAGGCTGGTCATGGGAGTTTGAGAGAGGCTGACATTGGAGACCTTACCCTGCCTCATCTCTGCTGCAAACATGCCTGATATTGGGGCTTGTGTCACCTGCTTTCCCTCATCCTTCTTTCCTTTCCCTCTAGTTCTGTGCTGTCCAACACGAGAGCCAACAGTAACTAATGAGCACTTGAAATCCAGCTAGTGCAATGGAGAAACTCAGTTTTAAATTTTATTTAATGTCTCTCAGTTTACATTTAAAAACTGATGTTCAGTTCAGTTACTAGAAAACTTTTAAGTAGGCTTGGCATTTGGGTATGTGAATCTACCTTTTCAACTATAAATTTAATGAAATCTAAATATAGATAACGTATTTCTGATGAAAATTTAGTGCCTACACAGAGATGTGCTGTAAATATAAAATACATACTGGATTTCAAACACTTAGTATGAAAAAAAGAATGTAAAATATTTCATTAATACTTTAATATTAACTATATGTTGAAATAACATTTCAGATATATTATGTTAAATACATTATAAAAATTAATTTCACCTGGATCTTTTTAATTTTCTTTAATGTGGCTACTGGACAACTTAAAATTATACATTGGCTTGCTTTATATGTATTTCTATTGGCCAGTGTGGGTCTTGGTGGAACTGCTCCCACTGCCTTTGTGTCCTCCTTAGATTTCTACTGGCACCGCTGAAAGGCTTTATAAGGCATAATACACTTAGCTCACATGTGTGTGGTCCTCCCGTATGGACTATAAACCTGAGTGGTGGGGTAGGGAGATAGACACTATTAACTTTGCATACTTCATGTGGGGCGTAGAGCCTGCCACATTGCAGACTCTTCAGAAATATTTGCTGAATGAACAAATAATTGAAATACGGAATTTTAAAAAGTGCTGTCTCTTTAGAAAATGGATAATGTGTGCCTTGACAATTAGAGTTGAATATATATTAACTAATGTTAACCTGATTTGCTTCTGCTTAGTGGCCACTAGAACAAGATATTTTTGCCTTTATCTTTGGAGGGCAGAATCACTGTCCATGACACTTCAGTCCTTCAGGCGCACAAAGCATGCACTGCATGCTGACCCCTGTACCAGGAGTTATGGGGACAGAGGTCACCAGAGAAAACTGAGACCTGGTCTAAGTCTTCAAGGGGCCTACAGTCCAGCTGATTATACCCAGGCTTCTCTATGAATTAGGCAGGCTCCCTTGGCAATGACACCTGCTTCAAAACAAGTTTATATTAAGAGAAAACTATGCAAAAGGGGAAACACACATATTTTTGTCTGCTGGGTCAAGTAGCATAGTTTCTTAGGGCTTAGGAATCCTGGCACTTGCACTTCAGAATCCCAAACTCCATTCAAATACTTTGGCCTGGTTTTTTCTCTGAAGACTGAAGCACTAAAATCTTAAGAGAATTTCCCCTTCTCATCTAGGAGGAAAAATTTTTTTGTAAAAGTTCAACCCACACGGATTCCCCAGGGCAGTGGGACAAAGAAGTGAAATTGGGTGAACTGTATGTCCTGATCCATTGTCACCCACTGTCCAGCAGCATGGTGTTGGTTTAAGAGGCATTGGCAAACAGGCAAGAGGGGAGCAAGTGCCCAGCTGGCCAGGGCAGCGGAAGGGACATGGCCCATAATACCGGGATCAGAACTCAATAACAAGAGAGGAAGTGAGACAGCTGTTATTCTAGATGCCTGTGCTGTCAGATTCCTCAAAGCACAGAAGTGACATCAATGCCCATGTGTTCCTCTAGAATAAACCCCTGCACGTGAGAAACACTGTGCTGGATTTCCCTTTCTGTCAAGTACTGCCTTTCCCAAGCAAGATGCCACAGAAAAGAAAGAAATGACACGTTACTGAAGTTGGCATTACATTAGGACTTAGCCATTTGGGGTAGTTTAAACTCAAAGATGCTGGGAGGATGTGGGGGTTACCCAGGCAAACTCAGCACCTGCCTCTGACAATTGGTTCAACATCTGACTTGCAAAAAACTCTCAAAAAGTGTGATTCAGGGATCTCATGGACCTGAAGCTTTGCCATGGAGATGGGGATTATTTTTTGATGTGACAATGTATCATCAGCCAGCCCAACACTGACTCTGCTACATGGATTCATTTCAAGAGAGACCTGGACAGGGACCCCCACTTACTTAGTCCCAGCTGGGCTAGTTCTTCAAGCTGAGCCTCCGTCTTGGCTGTTGAAATGGCATAAGGCAACTTCAAGGTAAACGGCAGAACATCCCTGATTTTTCGAAAAAGAGGATATTTGTAATTACATGTCATGTTTCTATCTCTTGTTTGCATTTCCAGCTTAGAGATATTTTAGCTTTAACTATTTAAATTGTCCTAAGTCATTACCACATCATGTCAAACCAGACAGGTTTACTGGTGATAGGACTGGAGAATTACTATTCCTGCCCATATTAACATAGTTAGGACAGGCTGGGAGACAAGCCTGCATGGTTTCAATATCTGTAGAGAGGACCAGATTTCCTTCCTGGGTAGCGAAAATGTACCTAGAGTTAATACTGGAAACTCTGACTATGTTGGTGGCTCTATCATAGACCTAAAACATTATTACTAATTTGCTAGATGCTCTGAATGTTGGACTGCCCAACTCCCTGGGTAGGAATGTGTAATCCTAAACTAACATTTATTATCCTATTGCCTTACACATGGCAGATTCTCAATGAATGTTGAGACAAGACTTCCTCTTGTGTTTTAAGGTATTGCACATGAACCCCAGTGGTGGTGGTGGGGTAGGTCTTGTTATACTGCATATTCTGACTAAGGAGGTCTGGGTGAGACCAGAGATTCGGCATTTCTGCTACCTCCCAGGAGATGCTGCTGCCCTGGACCACACTTCAAGTAGAAAGGCAAATCTACAGGACCTCATGCAACAACCCTGCTCCCAAGCAGCCTGGCGCCATGTGTAGACCAGCAAACACACTCAATGCAGCATCCCAGACTAAAACGCCCAACAGGAAGCTGCTGAGCTGGCACACCCGGGTGCTTCCATGGCCAGGGCATAGCTTTGCCCCTAGTAAACATGGAGCATGGCCTCCTGCCATCTCAGAAAGGGTAAACATAGACTTAATAAACATTTGTTCATTTTCATATACAAGAATTAGGAACATGCTCTCAGCATTGGTGACAGGGCTTTCAGCTCAATGCCTTGACTGATATAAATAGGGAGAAAGTATGTTTTGGATAAATGAATGAATTAATATTCAATAACAATAGTTTTTTTGGGGGGCCGGCCGAGTGGCTCAGTTGGTTAAGAGCTCGCTCAAGAGTTTGAGCTCTGAGCAACAGCGGTTCGAGTCCAGCCCAAGCTGAGCAGCCGCTGAACTGCCAACAGGTGGCAGGATGGCTCAGCTAAAAAAACAAAAACAAAAAACAAACAATAGTTTTTTTTTTAGTGGTGGTATTGCTCTTATAATGAATTCACTCATTCGTTCAACAAATGTCTATAGTCATCTATGATGTGCCAGACACTGTTCCAGGTGCTGGGAACAAAACAGATAAAAGTCTCTGCCTAAAAGAAGCTTCATTTCAGTGGACACCAACAGACAATAAAAAAGTACACGATTTATAGAATATATGAGAAAGGGATGTGTGCCATGGATAAAAATAAAGTGCAGAAGGGGAATAATAGTGTTCAAGTGTGAGAATTGGCCAGGGATGGCCCCATGAGCAGGTAGCATTTGACTGAAGACCGAAAGGTGGCCATGGAGTAAAATGTGAGGAAAAGAACTTTCCAGGCAGAGGGAGCAGCAGGTGCAAAGGCCTTGGTGTGGGAGATGGTCTGACATGTATAAAGAACAGCAAAGGCTGGGGTGGAGTGAGGAACAAAACTTGGAGCTTCTGCTTGTGTTTTGTCTATACAAGATGCCCTGAAAATTTCCATGGAAGAGAATAACTATACCAAATAACTTGTTTATAGTAAGATTAGGCAACATTCTAAACTGCATCAGATTAAATCTGGATGACTGAGAATTTTGGAACCCTTGAGGCTGTTGACAATGAATAACAAATTAGAAAGAGCAAAACATGAATAAAATGTAATAGTGTCATGGGGCTCTAATATACTGCTCACAAAAATGCTAGCAGTTGGCAGTCAGGAGGCTCCTCTTTCCTGTGTTGTCAAGGCTGAGCCACCGCCTGCTTCCAGGAGGCCCTTTTGCCTGCCCCCAAATGTTGTGAGCACCTCCTCTCGCATTTGTTCTACACGAAGCAGGTGGAACCTCAGGGGATGGCAGCGTCTGTAATAGCTGCTGCCTGACCCCAGAGATGCAATCACTCTGATTATACTCTTAAATGAAGATCAATGGGAACCAGAACTTTGTAACACTAAAGTGTCATGCAAATAAATATATGTGTCTATGGCTATACCAACTTAAGTAATATCTACTTTCTTTAGACAATTTTGGGGAAGGCCACATATAACAAAACCAACCTATGTTTATATTAAGCTTTTACCTCGCGCAGTGCAGTACCTGCAGCCTAAATGTCACATGACTGGTTTTGGCTTTTCTTAATGATATATATGACAGGAAACCACACCTGTAATTTGCTAATGGGTAGTTTTAGGCTTTAATCTACTAGAAAATTAGATGTTGTGCATGAGTCCTCTCGCACTGTGCCAGCCAGGGCACACAGTGTCTCCTATACGCACAGGCACATGTGCCCACACACGCACAAAAGGGAGCACTTCCTTCTCACCTACACCCTGTTAAGGAAAGGGGCCCTGATTCTAAAACTTGCATAACAGACAAAATAAATACATATTAGGTATAAACATTTCACCCAAGAATTTTAGTACATGCATAATCTAGATTTATTTTTTAACTTTGCTCTATGTCGTACGTCTAAAGCGGAGGAGACTAACTTTGTTGAGCATCTGCTATTACTTTGCACCAAGCACCTTAACTCATGTGGGACCCACATATGCCCCTGAGAGGAAGCTGTGATGCCCCCTATTCTACAGACCAGGAGCACAGGATGACGTAGATGGAGAGGTCCCTGCACCCACTCACAAAGCTAATGTGGGATGAAGTGGAAACTGGAACCTAGGTGTGCTGGACCTCAAGCCTGTGGAGCTGTGTTCTCTAGTGGGAAAACATGGGCTTTGGCATCAAGGCAGGTTCAAATCCAATATCTGCTACTTATTAATTGAGTGTGGGCAACTCTCACTCTCTGAGCCACAGTGTCTTCACGATCCTAATTTCAAGGCTGCCACGAGGATTAGAAATAATGTATGTATGATGCCTAGCACATATAGAGAAAGCCCCTTTAATTATAATTATACAGAGGGTGCCAAAAAATGTATACACATTTTAAGAAAGGAAAAAAACTGTATTAATTACAATACTCAATATACACTGATAACAAAAGATGAATACAAGTCACGTTTGACTTCTGCAATTACAAGAGGTGCTCAATGTGGTCACCATCAGCATCCAGACACCTCTGATTATGGCGAACTACTGCTTTAGCAATAGGTAAAGTCTCTTAAAATGTGTATACATTTTTTTGACAGTCCCAGTATTTAATAATTAATGATGATAATTCTTTTCTCTAGCCTCTGGCTACTCAAAGTGCAGTTGCAAGACCAGCAGCATTGGCCTCATCACCTGGGAGCCTGTTGGAAGTGGAATCTCAGGTGCTGCCCCAGATCCCCTTAGCTGGGATCTGCATTCTAAGAAGATTCCATGTGATTCTAGTAAAAGGCTGCAAGGCAGTGCTTACTGATTACACTGATTACACCAAATTGACAGAGAGCTATTAGGCTTTGGTGGCCAAGGCATGCATCACAGTTTGTATTCTCAACTATACTTTTCAATGTGCCTTCAAAATCAAAAAATCATGTTTTTTGATTTGTGAATTCTCTAGTCTAGTGCATGTACGTTCTATGTGACCATCATAGCTGCTGGTCCAGTCACTTTCTCTATATGAATATATTTATGCAGTAACAACCAACTAGAACATTTCAAAAATATTTTGGTAAGATGGGGTCAAATCAATTACTGATTACTAAGAACATAGATTTGAACAAATTAGTAACATATGGTGAAAAGGAGAAACAAAAACATCAAGAATCTTTGCATTTTGAAAAAACAGGAAAATGAATCTCAAGTCTCCCTAATCACACAATGTCAATGCTGGGATTTTTCTGTAAGCACCTTATACTGGCATCCTGCTTTAATAGTTTATAAAAGGCTTTCATGTGCTTTGTCTCCTTTAATCATCGACCAGCCCTGGACAGCAGTCATTCCAGTCTATTATGAACACTGAGGGGAGAGATATCTTTTGTGCACTGCTGCCAAATGCTTTATTATAGGTGCATTGAGCTTTCACAACAACAGCACAATGACCAACAAGCAAACTATGAAAATTAAACACTGGCCGACTTCACCTCTGACCAACATGTTAGTGTTGAAATTCACTCCCAGGGCCTGGTTGGCCTCAAACCAGACCAGGTGTGGTTCCCTGGGACAGTGGGTGCTCCTGCACTGCCCTCCTGTCTTGGGGCAGCAGATTTCCTCACACAAGCCAAGGGTTGTTGCCCACACGCTGGCAGGTGGCATACCCTAGGAGGCACTCACAGGTCTCTGGTCCAATTCTTGGTGAAGCCTCTCATTTCTTCCCGCTGGGAAGCAGCACAGGGGTCCCCTTCTGAAAGCGACTCCCCACCCTCAGGCCATTGATTGTGTAACTTCCCTTGGCCCAGGACCTCCAGGAGTAAACTGCTTCATGTCTGCGCCTGAAGGGCTTAGTCCAACAGGTAAGGAATGTCTTAGTCTCTGAGAAATAATCTGACCCTTAAATTAATATAAAATAAATCAATCCCAAGTAAGGTTCTTAGCCTCAGAGTAGATGGCTGTGAGAAGGGATCTATGAAAACAACCCCAGTAACGCATGCCTGGTGCCACTTTACCAGCTGCAACAGACAGAAAAAAGCAAAGGAGGCCAACTGAGCTCCATTACCTCAGATGAAGCAATGTCAATCTCTGAAATAAAGAGTTTTGATTCTTAATCACTAAAAAAATCACTTGATTTGAAAAAAACGTTATAGCTAGAAAGAAAAAAAGAAGAAAGCCTGCCACAGCTCGCACCCTCTGACACCTGTTGACCTCGTGATTTTTGGCTTAATGTCATGTTGACCGAAACAGTTGCTTTAATTATGAAAGGGACGTGAGCACCCAGCGGCCCTGAAGGACAGTGATGCATGCTTTGTAGGCTGGTTTAAGGAACCCACATTTCTAGTTTCACATTAAGGAACTACACCCCTTGAAAAGTTTTCATAAAATTATCAGGACCTTGAAATGTTACAGGTTTGCATCATTGGTCCCTTTCTCTGGGTGTGTGCATTTCCCCGGCTTGATGGGTCTAAGTGAAAGGAGCCATGAGAGCGACTTGAGAATATAATCATAATAATTAATGAGATTTTACATTTAGGAGGTCCAGGGTAATTATTTTCATCTTAAGCCTGGTACAGGGGCCTTGGTGACCATTTTATTTCAGTAGCCAAATCTTCTAGTGACATTTGACAGATGGTAAGCCTCTCAGATCCTCCTACCCTGTTTTAATCAAGAAACCTTAGGCCAATTATTGGGTTGTCTGGAAAGTCATGACGTATTTTTCTATGTTTTTCAATGCAAAAATGCGTCATGACTTTCCCGACGACCCAATATATTGCACACCCATCAGGTGATAGAAATCATAAGAGAAGAAGAGGCCTTACCTGCTGATGCAGTAGAAAGCAATAAGCCGGAATAAATCCGCAAAGCTGATTCCTGAGCCTTCCAGGGAAAAGGCTGAAAAGAGACATTTGGAAAAAGAGCTGAGTGTCCCTGAGTGTGTTCTGGAAAAGGAAAGTCTCTCCACTATTGCCCTGCTGCATGCACAGGACCATCTCAGTGCTCTCAGACAACTACTGTGAGGATTATCAGAACCAGGTGGGAGGAGGATGCATGTCAGCCGGAAATGGGCCAGTCAAGAGGATGGCCTAGAAACTCAGTCCCTGACTCACTCGAACACATGCTCTGATGCTGGGTAAACAGACCAGCATACGCTCAAACTGCACAACTATTTTTTTTTTTAAATTCACAACACAAAGTTGGGCAGGGGTCAAGGGTCCCATCTGGCTGGAGTGAGAGGCCATCAGCACATGGGAGGGCTTGGGGAAAGCAAGGCCCCCACTGCCCCTGACCCTCCTGGGATGGACCTCCTGGGTCACAGTCCTCTTTGCCAAAACAGGCCACCTCTGGTAAAGACACAAGGCAGATGGAGTGCAGAGCTTGGCGGATAACACAAGGTCCCCATAAGGCAGCTTGTGTTTAAATTCAGTATGGAAGATTATAAAACCCATTTACATAGGGTGCTCCCGCCCCCAACCACCAAATGCACAAGCTTCCTGATGGAGATGAGATGTTCTGGCAAGGTGGTGTGTGTACCACTTTACACGTCTTCCAAATGGTGGAACAGGGCATGGTTTGACTTCAGATATGCCAACCACTCCTTATACCATCGAGATGCCACTTACGCAGTCACTCTTCCAAAAACATTCTAAATATCCTCAGCTTTGTGAAGATTTCCTCATTTCCTCAGTCAGATGAGTTTTTCTCCCTTTTATAACACTCCATATCCTCATTTATTTTGCCTATTATTTGCTTATGTTATATTATTTGCTCACTTAGTATTTCTGTAGCACCCCAAAACACACCTATGTCTTTACACATGTATTGGAAATCTCTACACTATTTCTGACAGAGAGACACACAGACAGACAGACACACAGAGAAACAGAAACACACACATGTGTGTACCACAGTTTAGTGAGTTAAGTAGGAGGGAACCATTTGGGGTAGGTTAATATCTCTGAGGCTTGGTTTTCTCATCTGTAAAATGGACAAAAGGAGTGCCTTCCTTGTCTCCCAGAAGGGTAATAGTGGGAACCAAAATTTTAAAAAATGGAATAATTTATGTGAAAGCAGTCTATTCAAATATGAGGTGATATTTATTATTAAGCCATGTTATCCAAACGTTATGGCAAAATATCTGTTTTTATAGCAAGTCCTTCCTCTTCCAATCCACCTCAATTTGTAGAGAAGATAGACCCTGGCCAGGAAGGGGTCATGATAGTGGGACCAAGGCCTGTGGTAACTAGTTATGGCTACCGTAATGCTTTGCTCATACTAGCTTTTTCAACCACTTTAAGTCCCCTGGAAAGGAACAGGGAAGTGACAGAGGTGTTGACAAAATAGAGAGGAAAAACCTTTATCTGGGAGGGCTGGATCCTGCCTCTGCTTAGCTGCATTTCATGGAAAACTGAATAGTAATTGCCTGCAGGGAATACATCTACTCAAGGATTACTCATGAAGATGTGCAGATACATGCTTCAGTATTAGATCCCATAAAAAGGCAACCTGCCCCACACACAGCTCAGTCATCAGCAAATGGGGGCACCAAATCCATGCTCTGCTTAACTGGGAAGGGGGTGAGGAAGCCAATCAACCTCTAATTAGGCCTCTGCCATACACCAAGCAGCAGGCTGCATACTTTGTACATAGGTTGTTCAATTGAATGATTAACTCTCTGAGGTTACTATCACCCCACTATACAGATAAGAAAACTGAGGTTCCTAGGGTAGGTTGCCTGCCCAGTCATTCAGTGAACAAGCAATAATGCCAGGACTCAGGCCCACATCTGTCTGTCTCAAAGTGCAGGTTCTTTCCACTTGCCCAAGAGACCTGAGGCCCTCACGTCAATCAGGACCTAACTATCCAGTGACCACTTACTGTATGTGCTTTCCTTTATGGCAAATTCCTTGAGTGGGGCTCCAAATTCACAGGGCAGGCGAAGTGAAATTACTTTCTTCTGCATTTTGGTGGATTTACGAACCAGAAAGATCTAGGAGGGAAAAGAAATTCAAGCTTAAGAAACATCTAGAAGGTTGGAACCTGGCATATGATTTCCTGCACACTCAACATCCATGAGTAGAACGCTCTTCATAGTTGAAATGTGAGGCTCAAAGCAGAGCAGTTTACTCCCAGAGAAAGGGGTGATCAGCAGTGAGCGTGCCACAGATGCCTATCCTTGAGAACTGGTGTCCATAGAATCCTATTTTCCCTTCGACCGAGCTTTTGCCATGAGGTAAGAGCTCCCTGAGTCTGCAGAAGCTTTTTCAGTTTGGTGAATTGTTTTTATGCTACACATTCTCCAGCCTGTGTCTTATATGGGTATCTTGGTTGATGAAATCTAGATTTTAAACCATCGAGGCAACGTGGCAAAACCATGGGTGGTGAATTGGGAGTTCACTGGCTAAAATTTGGCTCAAGGGTGTATTTACAATAGAAAATTGAATTTGTTGTCAACAGTGAAAAGGCAGGAGTGTTTTATTTTTCACATTAAAATATGAATTTCTAGCTTCTCTTGGAAAATGGGATGATACAGCAAGACCAGGCATGACAGCAATCCAGAGGAGCCAAAAATGACTGTTACATTTGGGAGGTGTTCTGAAATTCATTACAGCCAACATCAAGGCTGGCAGTCCATTTATTCCTGACTCACTTCACTTTTTGACAACTCCCTCCAGGTCCTAATATTGTCTTCAGACACGTACTTTAAACCAGCCCAACTCCCTGTATTGATGTCTCAGGACACCTTTCTGGCCTCGGTCACTGCAGAGGCAAGTACGCCATGTATGAGTACTGCTATGCAGGCTGTGCACTGCACAATTCCAGGCAGCACCATTCATCTACATTACAAATCAAATGGCGTTCCCTGGAGTGTGCAGTGTGGCCGCCCGGCTGAGTCCTGGTTCCCTTCTGTAGTGCATGATCCTTCTCCCAGGATCCTATCCTGTCCTCTTTCTTTTACTACTTCTCTTTCCTCTGCATTTAGACACTGCTCTTCGTTCCCATATCATTCTTTATTTTTTCTCCTAATCTTTACTTTAGTCTATATGTCCTGTCACTATCTCCTAAGAAATGTTTCTTTTTGGGAGGGAAGGGGAGGTTATGGGAATTTGGTGTCTAGTAAAGACTGAGATCTCTCTTTTTTCCCAGCACCCATGGGGAGGCAGCCATGGAATTCATCTAGTAGCCAGTTCTAGGAGTCAGTGTCTTTGGGACACTGTAAAACTGAAGCAGATATTTCCTAAATATTATCCTGATGGGTAAAAGCCCAGAGCACTGCTGAAGGCAGCTGTGGGTTAGTGGAGAAGAAGTAATATTCCCTTATGCAGGTGGTGATCTCTGTGAGACTTGGGGTCAGGGAGATTACAACCTCTAGATCTTATTTCCTGAATGTCTACAGCCTTAGAGCAGGGGTCAGTGAAGTATGGCCTGCAAACCAAATCCATCCTGCCACCTGTTTTTGTAAATGAAGTTTTACTGAAACACAGCCACGCTCACTAATGTACTTATTGTGTATATTCTACACTACAAGGTGAAGTTGGGTAGTTGTGACAGAGACTGTATGGCCCACAAAGCCAAAACTATTTATACTCTGGCCCTTTACAGAAACAGTTTTAACACCTCCGTCTTAGGTTGTAAATTTAACACCCTGAGGATGCATACCACCATGGCTGGTCTTTCAAATTTCCTTTCCTCTCATACTGCTTTTCCTTCTCTTCAGCATTTTCATTTCTTCTGGTGCATTTGGCCTCTCCTGATCCACTGCTCCTGTCCTCACCCTGCCCTCAGCCTGCCCCATCTTGTCAGGCGGATCCTATCCAGGGATCAAGTAGGTGACTGGAGAGAACATCCCACCTGACTTGTTCCCCACAAGGCCTCAGCAGGAATGGATGTGCCTGACACCAGGAGTGGAATTGCTGCCTAGCAACAGGGCCACCTCCCTCTTCAGCATTTTTGGCAGAAATGCAAGAGCAGACAACTCAACCTCCAAAAAGTGGAGGTCTCACAGAAGGCGGTCTTGATCATATAGACCAACACCAGAGGCAACAACACAGCATGCTGGCCAAGTAATTCTCTGCAAAGATGATCAAATATTGCACCAGTCACCCTGAGCATGTTTCAACAGAGTTCTTAGTCCTGTCTGTTTCTGTCAGATGAGAAACAAGGGCTCACTTATAAATCAAAAAGTAGTAACAGACAGGCTCTGGCTGATAGGAAACTCAATAGCTTATTTTTGTGCCCAATTGTCACAACATTCCTCAGTGAGCTACCAATGGAATTTTCTTCTTCCTCTTCCATCTACTTCTTAATTTCTATCTCTTGCCATGTATTGTTTCAAATCTTATTTTATCTGGGACTTATTGTAGTTCTTCTTTTTTTTTTTTTTTTGGAAGTAGACATTGTATACAAGCACTGTCCAATAAAACTTTCTGTGATGATACAAAAGGTCTACACCCTGCACCATTCTATACGGTAGCCTCCAGCCATCTGTGGCTAGTGAGTACTTAAAATGTGGCTAGTGGAACTGAGGAACCAAATTTTTAATTTAATTTTATTTAATTAATGTAAATTTAAATAACGACGTGGGGCAAGTGGCTACCATATTGGGTAGCAAAGGATATACCAATCATAAAATAACCTTTTTTTGAGGATCTTCTATAGAGTTGTAGCATGGTCTCGATTAAGAAGAGACTGGACTGGGCCGGCCGAGTGGCTCAGTTGGTTAAGAGCTCGCTCAAGAGTTTGAGCTCTGAGCAACAGCNAGCAGTTCGAGTCCAGCCCGAGCTGAGCAGCCGCTGAGCTGCCAACAGGTAGCAGGATGGCTCAGCTAAAAAAAAAAAAAAAAAAAAAAAAAGAAGAGACTGGACTTCGGTAGGCAGTAGCTGAAGAAACTGAACTTTGATCCACGTGGAAAGCCACTGAGAAAGTCCAAGGAAAACCATCAGCAGCCGCCAGGGCAGAGAAGTCTATGACTACAGAGCTTCTGAAGGCTGGGTCCCAAGCTGGGGCTGGGTCCTGGCAGGTTCCCAGGCTCAGAATTAAAGTAAAACAGCAGGGACAACTGAAACCCCACAGCCAGGCTCATCCTCAATGTCGGGTCTCAAAAAGTTAGGCCCAGCGACTCTGGCCTGTGGCCCTTCCCTGTTGAGTCCTGCACTTCCCATATTAACTGAGCAGATGAAGACAGAAAGCCAAATCATGAAGGGATCTGGTCCTGAGAGCTGTCTCTGTCGTTTCCAGAATTTCCCTGCATTGCAACCCAGGAATACACGGGGAGCCATGTTCTCCATAGGCTGGAAGGAACTTTCTAGAACTCCAAGTTTTTTCTCTTTAAAGACACAGCAGCCCTGCCTGCCTCAACCTGTTCCCCTGCGATTCTGAGTCTTACCCCCGGAGGCTGGGACTGTAGGACTTCCGCCGCCTCCTCCTCACTCAGAGTCAGTTGCAGCCATATGGGGTGGGTGTGAAGAAGCCGGTCCAAAATGCTGAGCCTGTTGGAGAGGCTGTCATAGCCAGAGTACCGGGGACAGGTTTTCACATCGTTTTCCTCAGAATAGCCACCGTCCTTGTGTCTTACCATGCTAGGAGAAAGAGAATTGACAGGGGTCAAATGGCTGCGGCACAATTTCCCTCACAGGAAGACTGTCCTAAAATATCATAGACTAAACCTGTCATAGCACATACCCCTTATTGTCATCACCACCTCATTTGTCTTTCCTTTCAGACTGAAAGTATTAAGGGCCGACACCATGTTATAGTGCACTCTGTATCTCTAATATTAAACAGAGTACTCAAAAATATTCAACAGACCCAACCTTCCACTTCTAACCTGGTTTTGAAAAGGTTCTAAACGTCCTAAATCCTATTTAGTCTATCTTCTGGCATAAAACATCTCTTCCTTTGAGTACAGATACCTAAGTGCTAAATTCCATATTGGAACCATGAGGTCCTAAAGACTGTATCATGAGCATGACCATGGCATGCTCTAAAAGCAAAGACAAAACATTCACATACACACACACACACACACACACATGCACGCATACACACGCACACGCGCGTGCACAAACACACACGCACACGCACACACGCACGCACACACACACGCATTTTTGTGCCCAAATGAATTAGATTTCATTCCTTTTCATACATCTAGGCATTTTTATTACTAACATTACTTATAATGAAATCTTACAGTGGTATGGTGCTATGCTATTAATAAAATCATAGAGATATTATTCATAATCACCACAAAATGGAACTTGCTCAAATTTCTATCAACTAATGAATGGATAAATAAAATGTGGTATATCCAGACAATGGAATTTTATTCAGCCATAATAGTCATTCAACCATTTTATGAATGAAGTACTGATCCATGCTACAATGTGGATGAACTTGAAGACATCATGCTAAGAAAAAACCCGAGACACAAAAGGACAAATATTCTATCATTCCATGTATATGAAATATCTAGATAGACAAATATAGAGAGACAGAAAGATTAGGGGTTTCCTGGGACTGGGGAGGGGTGTAGGATGGGTAGTGATTGCAAATGAATGTGGAGTTTCTTCTTGAAATAATGAAAATGTTATGGAATGAGATGTGCTGATGTTTGTACAACTTTGTGAATATACTGAAAACCACTGAGTTGCACACATTAAATTTTGAATTGTATGTTATGTGAATGAAATTTCAATAAAAAAAATATCACATTGACTTCCATCGTGGCCTTTGGCTACATCACTAATCCTGTTATTGAATATTTAACCTCCATCTTATGAAAGAGGAAACTGAGGCCCAAGAAGTTATCAAGCCATCCAGAGTTATAACGAGCCACGAGGAGCCAATAGAGATGGCAGAGCTAGAAATTAAAGTGGTCTGGTACTCACTCAACTCTGCAGGTAACAAATAAGATCATGAACATAGACTAGCTTGTATCTATGTGGTGTTTACCGTTGGCCAGACCCTTTGCAAACATTTTCTCATTACTCCTCTCAACAGCCCTGAAAAGAGCTACTAGGATCCCAGTCTTAAAAAGAGAGGACTGGAAGACTCAGACTTATTAAGTTACTTGCTCAAGGACACGCCTCTGTTAAGAGAAAGAGGGTGGACATTCCAATCCCAAGCTGCTTCAGCTCTGGGGCCTGTTTCCCTCTACCACAATCAGAACTCGCACTTTCCTTGGCTATCAGTGAGCTGGTCAGCAACACTGGTCCTGGAGCAGCCAGCAGGACCATCAGATCTGACCATTCATGTCTGAAGGGCCAAGTTCAGGTTGGGGTACACACGGTCTTCAAATGTCTAAACCCCCAAAACCCAAATGTGTGGCTTGGATAAAGTTTTCAACATTTAGAAAAATGGGTGATGGTTCCAAATGTAAGGTGAGAATGGGGGAAGGGGGTGACTAATTTCCACGTGGACCACTCCACTCCTAGGTAGTTGGGCTGAATGTAGAAGAAGCTAATCTAAGGTGATCATTTCTGGGTATGCGGACTCAATAACAACACCCACAATGATAGCCTGTGGGCTGGCCACAGGCCCCATCCTAACTTCTCCCCCACACCTTCTTGACTTTCCACATATTTAAAGAATCTTATGCTTCCACTGGAGATTTACATTTGGTTTTCTCTCAAATATGTGAATGTTTTCCTTTACCTCTGCTACAAGTTTCCAGATGGGAGAATCTGCCAAAAAAGGGGCAGTTTCTCATTCTGCAAATGCCATTCTAGGGACTCCAGATATATTGAGGTGAACCTTTGCAGCTATAGGAACAAACTCTTCAAAATGAAGCTGGTGGTAAAATTCCTTTCACATAAGGTAAAAGAAGTGACTTTAGACCAGTGATTCTCAACCATGGCTGCCTATTCAAATTGCCTTGGGAGCTTAAAAAACGTTTTGATGATCAGACTGCACCCAGATCAAATAAATCAGACACATGGTATAGGATGCAGGCATCAGAATTTTTTCAAGTTCCCCAGGCAATCCTGAAATGCAGCCAAGTTTACAACCACTGCTTTGGATCAGCCTTTGAACCTACATGAGAATCACCTGGGGTTTGTTAAGCCACAGAATCCTGGTTTCAGTTCCAGATATTCTGATCCTGCAGGTTTGGGGTAGGCCTGACTCTGCACTTCTAGCAAGCTCTGAGTGATGTTGCCAGTCTGAGGAGCACTTGCTTGAGACCTAAGAGCAAAATGTACATTTGGGCTCAAATCCAATTAGATGTTTGTTTTTTTGTTTGTTTGTTTTTGTGGGGTTGGGGGGAATGTGCCATTGAAAGAACTCAGAACCCAAGTAAACATTTCATTCCTGCTGTCTCAGGCTGGCGATATTTTACCAAGACCAAATTCTACAATCTCTAAAACAACAACCCTGACACTCATGTGTGCTGAGAGTAAATATGTTGACACATCTTCCTTTCTTAGAAGGGTGCATCCTGTGACAACTCAGTTGTTTTAAGAAGCTAAAATGCCTTTGTTCTGACAACTGACTTCAGCCTAGGGCCTCAACAGGGAGATGGTGAGTAAGACCCATGGGGCCTCATAAAGAAACAACTATAAATTAGACCTTGTCTTTGCAAATGACTAAGCCAATGCCTTCATTCAGCCAACCATTTGAGGTTTATAGCCTATTATTATGAAACAAATTGGCTTTTATCAACCAACCTGAAGGACAACCTTCAGGAAAGAACTAATGAAGAAAATGTTGAACCAGTTGTGAAGGCTCTTGGTGCCCCGCCCAGTCCCCCTTTATCAGATCGGGCACCCATGACACTGCTACCCCTTTTCCTGAACATACCTGGGAAATTATGCCTTCCCCTGGGAGCAGATGCACTGCTAATGATATACTGACATGACGTGTAGGGGAGTGGTCTTGCTTGAAGGTGGGGACATCTCTGGGGTGCTATTCACGCTTCAGAGCTCCTTGTGGGATCAGGCTGAAGCTAGACTTCAGCTGGCCCCATATCTTTGCCTGGTTTCCTCCCCATCCCATCCTGTATCCCTTAGTGCTTCACAGGTTGCTCGTGACAGCCTCTCTCAATAAATCATGGCACAAGAATCCCTGTCTCAGGCTCTGCTTTTAGGGAGTTCCACCTAAAACAGAAGTTGCTGCGATTAATAGAAACTAGTGATTCTAGTGCCTGCAAATGAGGAAGGACAAAGGATGAGTGCTTTATAAAAGATAAACCTCTGTGATATAATCCAGGAGATTGTATGATGACATCGTCATAGTGGGCTTGTGGGAACAAAAGACCCACCTCCCTCTGAGCTTTGTCTTTCTAATCTGAAAGTGGTATCTCCACCACCATGTAGATTGATGCAAGTAAGAATTCATCCAATGTGATACTCTGAAAAGGTGTAACCTAACCTGCACAGGTAGCCTAGCAGGTAGCCTAGCATAGATTAGCTTTGCTTAGAGTTTATAATTTTGCCTTGATTAACATGTAACCTCACTTAGATCACGCTAAAATTTATAAGGTTTGTGTAATGCTATCTGGTAACTTGCTGAAAGCCTCACAGAAAGACCAAGACTTTGTCAGATGTTTATCCATACCTATGCAATCTCTGACATTGATTGCCAGAACTATTTTCCAGGAATAAGCCCTGGATGTTTTGCAGGTTCAGGGGATGAACCAGCTGAAACTGCCTGTTACCAGCTGGAGCAGCCTGAAGCAGCCTAAAGGACCATCCAGTAACCTCCTCATGAACTTTCTTCATTATACCCTCATTATAATATGAAAATCTCCACCCAGTGGTAGAGACTTTCCACCATTTTTGAACATGCCATGTATGTACAGCCATGTTTTCTGACTGCACGTGAGCTGGAATACCCACACCTATACATGCAACGATGAAGTCTACCTCCATATTTATGCATGATCTCCCCTTGTAAAGATGGATTAGGTACTTTGTTTGGGGACACACTGCTCTGGGAATGATTCACGATGTGCTCTTGCTTGCGGGCTTGCAATAAAGTTCCTTCTTGTAAAATCATCTCAGAATCATCTCAGAGTTGTCTTTTGGCTGGCAACTACTAAGCATTCAGACTTGGTTTGGTCCAGTAACAAACGTTATCACCTGGGTAGTCTTCCTACCCCCAAATGTGTTTAACCTGAATCTACACGAGAGGAAACAACCAGACAAATCCAAATTCAGGGACTTTCTGCAAAACTACTGGCCTGGAATCTTCAAAATGACAACATCATTCAATTAAAAAAAAAAAAGGCTGTGGGATTATTATAGCTAAAAGGAGAATAAAGAGACACAATTACTATATCAAGTGCATAGAATTGATTACATATGGTATCAGAATAACAAACAGCCACAAAGGATAATGAGAAATATTTGAATAAGGGTATTTATAAGATAATATTATACAATGTTTAATCTCCTGAGTGTGATAATTTTACTGGGGTTACATAGGAAAATACTCTTGTTCTTAAGAGATGCATACTGAAGAATTTAGGGGCAAAGTGTGAAAGTGTGTCAGATGCTCAGCCCTTCCCATCCCCTCCAAAAAAAAAAAGGAAAAAGTATAGAGGTAAAAAAAATGTTACAAAATTTCAACAATTGGTGAA